TTTTTCCAAGTTAGGTAACATATAACCTTTACATCCATAGAATTGAAGAGAACACAATCTCCCATAGGTGGGGTAGACTGAGTCTGTCATGGTGACCACATAGCACCATGTAGGAGAAAACACATGACATTTCTCCATGGAGTTACTAAATCCAGGGAGTTGTAGGGATGGGATTATTTGTAAACATGAACAGAACATAAGGAAACCATAATGACGGTGGACACCCTGGGGTAGTAGCAGGAAGTTATTATCTGTGATCATCAAGTAACACAGAGGGAGAGTTTCCAGAACATTCCCGGAAGTGGTATGTGTGGAAATTCACCTCTCTTTGAAGTGGCTCTTTTGTGAGCTACTATGGACACTCCGGTTTGTGACTAGTCAGCCTCTGTTATCACATGACCTTTTCTATGTGGGCCTGCATGACTCTGTGTGTCTTGTAGAAGCACTGCTTATTGAGTTCGGCTCTCTTCAATTCAAGATTACTAACTTGGCTATGTCTGTATGACCTCTCTAACAATAACCGTCTTCTCCCTTTGGTCCTTACTAGAAGCTGAAAGCCAAGCACACACATGTGTCCACCGAGGACAGTGATGTCCATCTAGAAAAATGGGATCCCATTCACAGAAAACGAAAATAAAATCATTTTAATTACACAAGTGCTTTTAGTATCCAATTCAACTGGAATTCAAACCACTGAGTGGCAGGGCTAAACTCAACACTGTTTACTTATTGATGTGAACAAGATCTCCATCTGAGCCTGATTAGTTTCAGCAGAAGTGATTCATCTAAAGGAAGACACTCTAAGCGAGAAGAGGGACACCCCGTTCATCCATTCATTTCACATGTGTTTTCCCCAAATGTGCCTAGAACTTGTAAGGACTCGTTCTTAAAGCTCACCACTGCTTTAAGCCTCATACTGCGTATTCAAAGGGAATATTCACAGGGAAGTGAACATGTGGTAATATAAATTTTAATCATAATGATAATTTTTATGATAATATCTGTAGAAGGTGAAGGGACATCTAGCTTTAAGAAAGATAATATGAAATGCTGAATTTTGTGAGCTTTATAAACATTTTCGGCGTCATTTATTTGTTATTTGTGGTGTGTGTGTGTGTGTGTGTGTGTGTGTGTGTTTGTGCATGTATGTGTGTGTATATACGCACGCACACATGTGCTTGCATGAGTTTATATACATCATGTGCGTGTAGATGTCAGAGGCCAGAAGAAGTTGGCTCCCCTAAAGCTGGAGCTGCAGATGGTTGTTGGCTGCCTGCTATGGGTGCTGGGAACTGAATCTGGGTCTTTGAGAAGAGCAGCAAGCTCTCCACAAGAGCTTTACCACCAAGTCATAGTCCCAGCCCCTTTCCGAACTTTTAAAAATGTATTCTTATAAAAAGATGGAATCAAATCACTGTAACTCGTGAACTGTCAGTGGAAAGGATAGATCCAAGTATCTGTCTCTCCACAGACAAAAAGCAGTTAAGAAACTGAAAAAAAAAAAAAAAAGCAGAGAAAACAATTTTTTTAGAAATCTGAATTTTAAGCTAGAGCTTAAAATAATCTGGGGAACATTTAATCACCAAAGAACAGCTGAACCTTCATGTGTGCCCTAGCAAGCCTACCCTGTGTGTGTGTGCACCCAAAGGACTGAAAACAGACTCATAGAAAATTTTGGCATAGATATTTGCTGCAGTTATTAATAATGAAAAAGTGAAAATTACCCAAATGTCCATCAACCGATGATCAGTTAAAATTTGGCACATTTTTTACAATGGAATGTTATTCAGCTATACAAAAGGAATGTGCATTCCCATGATATGGATAAACCTTGACAACACTATGCCAAAAGAAGTAAAATAATCGCGAAACATCTATTGTATCATTTACTTCCACAGACTATCCAAAACAGGCAAACCCATAAAGAAAGAAAGAAAATGAACAGTTCCCTGATAATGAAAGATGGAGAATAACTGTGCATAGATATGGCTTCCTCCAGGATGAGGCAAATGCTTTAAGGATAGACAGAGGTAATGATTGAATAGTTTCATGAATGCACAAACTCCACCCAACTCTCCACTTAAAAGTAGTTTTAAACCGTAAATTTTATGCTGTGTAGATTTTGTCCCCATAAAAAAATCTATGGCCTAGGATAATAATATGAAGCATTTTCATCTGCAGACTTAATATTTTCAACATTCTAGGTTACCACCTTTGTAATGTTGAAGATGTTAGAATGAGAGACGTTCAGTGTTACTTTTAAGATGTGTGGCAAGGTAGGTTGAGTTAAGTGAGACAACCACCGTTTGACTGTTTTTCATGGAAAAAAATGCTGTAGTGCCATAAGGATGGATTTTATGGCTTCACAACTTCAGGTGACTCTTCTTTGTAGATTTTAGATTTCCTAGGAGGTCTAAGAACAACAACAACAACAACAAAAATATGAAGGCCACTGACACCAAGGATCATAGAAAGAAGGTGAATTTAGCCTTGTAGAGTTGGAGGAGAGGAGTTAGACTTTGAGTGGACTGACATCTGGAGGCAGAGACTCTTGGGAAGCACGGTGCCAGAGCCTGGACAGCACAGGTTTGAATGCTGTGCTTGCCAACTACATACGTTAGCTGCTGTGCCTCAGTGTCCAGTCATGAGCAGTGTGAAGGTGACGTTAGATTGAGGATTCAACGACCTGGCATATGGAAAGAGTTTAGAGTAACCATGTCAACACTTGCTGATCAGTCAACATTTCTAAAATAACAACATTTGACACCAATCCGCATTGGCACGAACGGTGGGTGGGCAGTCATTTCTCATGTGCACCCGTTAGATTAAACAGACTTGCTTTCGGCTACAGGCTGGGTCCAGGTCTCCTCCAAATCTTTCATCTACTTTGAAATAGTTGCTAACCAGGGCACATGCCTTGTGTGGCAAAATAGCAAAACATGAGATGTTAATCATTAAAGAAAAGCCACTTCACTGTCCTCATTTCGTTTGTTTTATGTGTCTCTCTGAATTTTATTCTATTCATTAGAATTTAAGTAGAGATTACACTATAATCCACTTAAGAACTTCTTGATTGTCAGAAAAATATATACCTCAGTGAAGAATACTAGAATTATATCAGCAGCAATGAGAATCCTAAGCAATGAGGACATATATACACACAAGGATAGAGACAGAGACAGAGAGATAGAGACTGAGAATTTCTTTAGATCTTGATTTCATCTTGACTCTGAGTTTCTCTGTTAGCCTTCTGACCAGCCAGCTGTGCATGCTGTCTGGGAAATGTTTGTTGCATCTACTGAAGATAACTAACTTGGAACTGCTCTTTCTGGCTGAGTGAATCGCTGTGCTTCTGAGCAGGTGACACACATCCGAGGGAACTCGGTCTCTGCCCTGCATGTCTTACAGTCCAGAGCCACCAAAGCTGTAGTCTCATTTTTTTTTCTGTTTTCTGGTGAGAAAACTATGAAAAATCATCCTTATGGAGAGATAAACAAAAGACTGGTGAATTACACCTCTGCAGGCAACCTAGATTCGTAAACATTAAAGACCATTCATGAGCTTTTCTGCCAGGAACAGACCATTCAGCTTGCAAGACTATTAACTATTAACAAGACAAGTAACTATTTTTTTAATTCATTTTTATTCATGTGTGTGGCTACGTGTCTGTGTGAACACATGTGTGCAGTAACCTCAGAGGGTCAGAAGAGGTCACTGGATTCCCTGAAAATGGAGTTGCAGACAGTTAGGAACCACTTGATGTAGGTGCTGGGAACTGAACCTGGGTCCTCTTGCAAGAGCAGTGAGTGCTCCGAACCACTGAGCCATCTCTCCAGTTCAAGCTTCTGGGATTTTATATATATATATATATATATATATATATATATAACAAAGTGAATAAAATTAGCAGTCTGTAAACACCTTACGTTTTAATCAACAGTGTTTGAACTCATCTCATGAAAGCAAGTGTTCACCATGAAAAGTAGGGAAGGTGGAGTGTTCCAGTCGGCCGCAAAAATCCTTCCTCCCCAGTGTGCACCGTGTGCCTTTCAAACACTGGTGGGATGGGATTATGCTTGTTTCTAGAAAGACAGTGCTGATTGACTCTGACTGGATATGAGTCACAGTTGAGCTGCTGACAGCTGTTCTTGTTAATTGTGGTTTAAACGTTTTATATGATGGCTATATTTCCTTAGGCTGGGTGAGCAACAAAGCCTAGCCCTGGAGCTGGAAGAGCCACTGTTCTCAGGGAGCACTAGCAACTGACGTTTGTGTGAAACGACAGTGCCCTCTGACCTTATGTTGGACATCCCAGTGTTAAGGCTTGTGCATGTGAGCACAGTTGCCATTTATCATGGCGCCTCCTTAGAACCTCTACGACAAGAGAAAAACATCAAAGGCAGACCAGATGGTTTCTAAGTGGAGAAAACAAAACAAAACAGTGGTTAAAGTGTGTGTTTTTCCATTGATAAAGAAATAGTTATTTGGAAGAAAAATACTCCTGAATGTTTACAGAGAGACTTGGTGCCTTTTCTTCTCCCTGATGTCTTGCTGCATGTATACACCACTGCGAAATGGACCATCACAGTTAACAAGGTGGTGATTCAACTACTTTTTTAAAAGTACATGTCTACAAGGTTACAAAATAGATAATTTTTTTTGCTTACTGTCTTCTTACATCATGGCTTCAGCAATACAGTGTTAATACCTTGTTTTCATCACACTTACATTGTCTTTAGCACTATCAGCCATCTAGAGAGGAGTCAAGGTAGAAGGCAGCATGCACTTAGAACACATACAAGCACTATACCAACTTATACAAGGGACTTGAGTGCCTGTTAATAAGAGGAAGGTCTTGCCCTCACAGACACCAAGGGACAACTGCATTACTTTTATAAATCTGAAAATTTTCTGAAAACCACATCAGCCCTCTCCTTCCCCTCAATTCTTGAAATATACTATAAAAAATATACTGCAAAAAAAAAAAAAAAACATTTTACTCCCTGTCAACGGATAAAGAGACACCTTGTTGGTTGTGGTGTTCTTATACCAGTCAAAGGCAAAGCAGGTGATAGTATTTCGTTCATTCTAGCTTGATGCCTGTCTTGGTGGCTAATGTTGTTTTATGCCTAGGACACATCAAAATCAAAATCAAATTAAATCTAATACAGGGCAGTGCAGCACAGGAGAAGAAAGACATACAGAAACCTGCAGACCACAAACCTGTACTCTGGTAGATAGGCACAAGTGGCCTTAGACACCCACTTACTGGAGGAGGTCACCCAAGCTACCACCTGCCATGCAGCCAGCCTGAATCAGGAGCCACCACATGTGTAGGTATGTGGTGGTCAGATGGAAGAGAAAGAGAAGTGGAGCAGCTTGAGTATTATGAAGAGAGATGGAATTGGAGACTAGAGCAAGCAAGAAATAGCCTGTTGTGAGTGGCCAGCCCTGCCACCTGGGGCCGTGATGCGGTCCCAGCCTGAGCTGCCACTGAGGGCCATGTCTAGGTCTGTGCCTAGGCATTGGCATGGGGCAGTGTGTGCATGTCCTTGGTTCGTATTACCATTAGAAACAGTGGAGACGTCCCTGGTCAGGCAGCCACCAGGGACCACGAGGATGTCCAGGGGGCTGTGGAGAATTGGCTCCACCCCTCACTGGCTGAGATGCTCTGGAGAGCTAGCCCTGCCCCTCACCAGCTGCAGCTCTCAGGAGAGTGGTCCCTGCACTTCACCTGGACAGCACAGCAGAGCTGTCCCTGGCGGTGAGAACACGTGTGAACTGGCCCAAGGGTGAAAGCACTGAAGCGCTAACCCTCCCACTCATCTGCCATGAGGTAACATGGCTGTGGGGGAAAAGAAGATGCCCTCCCCCACATTACCCCTCAACACCTCTCACAGCAAGGAGAGCTAGTCCTGGGATCATGAAACTGGGATGAGCTGGCCCCATCCCTCACCAGCTGCAGCACTCGGAAGAGCAGGCCCTGGACTGCATGAGTGAGGAAGAGCTGGATCAGCCCCTCTCAAAATGCAGGACATGAGAGTGGGCCCTGTGCCTTGACTGTGCAGCACAGTGGAGATGTCTCTGAAGGCATGGGCGTGAGTGAGCCAGCCCTGAGGGCAGAAGAGCAGAAGAGCTGGCCCTGCCTCCTGCTGGTGGCAGCATTTGGTGGCCCAGCTGAAGCAGTACTGGAGAGCTTACCCTGGTAGTGTGGATAGAGAGAGCCAGAGTGCTGACCAACCCAGCTACCACCCAGCCCCGGATCCTGGGCCCTGAGTTGGCCCATTCCAAAAATCTATAACATATGCAAACAGTTGGGATGCATGAAAGGGCCAGCCCTGCTCATCCAAAGCTGCAGAATCTCCATGGCACAGGGCAACAACAGGATATCCTCGAGGAGGACTGGTGAGGATCCAATATTGATGATGTCACAGAAGCTAGAGATCTCTCACTAGACCAACGACTCTACTACAATAAACATTTGCAAGTGAAAATGTGTAGACAGAGGGTTACACTGTGGGACACACTGTGACGTGCTATAGCTTCCACGGTGAGATGTTTTCTACGCTTCGTTGTTTGTTGTTGTTGCTGCTGCTGTTGCTGCTGCTGTTGTGTGTGTGTGTTGTGTGTGTGTGTTATTTTGGGAAGGAGGTTGCAAGAGTCAAAGGTGGATGTGAGGGGACGAGGAGATGCACAGGACTGGGGTGCATAATATAAAACTCACAAAGAATCAATGAAAAGTCTTTTAAAAGAAATAACATTTATACGCCAATATGCTGGTAAATAGGAACCTTGGCATCACACAAAGGAACACATGGATAAAGTGGAATTTAGAATGATAAAGAAACAAAGGAGTGGGCAAGCTTTAGGTCAAGACAGTCAACACATTTACTGCCTGTGTGCCTTAGTTTAGATAATGGATGGTGGCAACTTTCCTCTTTACATCCTTTACTGATTAACAAACAAACATGAAAACGCCTGAAGAAGCAAGCAAGCTGGGCTCTGGGCTCAGTTTCGACCCTGCCAGCAAGATGGAACTTGTTCCTGAGATGCTTGGACCCAGGAAACTGTCTCTTAACAAGAGTGGGATCCATCCTCTTCTCTCCCTTAACCTAGCATCCTGGCACCACTCCCTGAGGCCCACAGGTTCTGCCTCGGCTACTATAGGGCTCAATGTCTCTGAAAACTCCTCAGCCCTCCTCTCAACGGCCCTGTGTTCATCGTCTCACACACAAGGACATTCAGACCAGCGGGTCTCAACCTTCTTGATGCAGCAACGCTTTTATATGGTTCCTCATGTTGTGGTGACCCCCCAACCATAAAATTATTTCATTGCTACTTCATAACTGTAATTTTGCTACTGTTACAAGTCATAATGTAAATATCTGACACACAGGGTAGCTCATATGCTACTACGAAGGTGCTGCGCCCCACACGTTGAGAACCACTGATTTAGGCCTTTTGCTGGAGTCACCCCTAAGCCAGATGTATTCCATAGGCTTCTCTGGCATCACACAGACCCTGGGGGGGGGGGGAATAAAAATTGTTCAGTTTTTCTGAAGCGCAAAGAGTGAGCTTGACAAAGCTGTCTTGTTACTTCTCTCCTGCCGTGGTGTCCCATGGTGAACATTGTCAGCTCAGCAACATATATAAAGTAATAAAATTTTAAAAAGGACAATTGTTAGTGAGCAGAGTGGAGGCAAGAGGCAGGCTTCCTGACATTAAGCTATTAACCCTAAGAATGATGGCTAGGCTAGTCCCTGCTTAGAGACCTCTTGTGTCTTGAGGGCCCTTTACGGTGGTCTCCTGCTAAAACTTCCACTCCCTCCCCCACTGCCTCTGCCTCTTCTGTTCCTCCCCACACCCCTTCTGCTCCATCCACTCCTCTTCCTCCTTCTCTTTATTCTCAAACCCTCTCATCAAAGAACAACATATTTGAAACAGCTGTTCTGCTGGCAGTGGGTAGAGCCAGGAGCCTGCCTCCTGTCCCCTGCTTGCTACATTCCTGCTCTATGCCTCAGAAATCTGAACAGACCAGTTTGGAGGGCCAAGTGGGTGGTGTGTTCAAGTGCACGTGTGGGCATGCATCCCTGTGTAGAGGTGGGACAGAGAAAAGGTAATTTTATGGTTTATTTAAAGAAAAGTGGAACATGCTCCAAACTCCTCCCCGCTTTCTTTCTAAACCTCTGACTTTATGTCCTGGCTCCCTAGAACTAGGGTTGAATTGTAAGCCAACAAACACTTGTAGTGCTTGCCAAGATGCTTTCCTGCTGAGAACTTCACAGCAGCCCCTGCCCCAAGAAAGCAGTAACTGACTGATCTGCTGTCCGTCGTTCTCCTGAGAGAGACTGCAAATTTGCAGATGTTCGTCTGATTGCTTGTCTGAACGTCAACACAAATACTTTTACTTCTTGTTTGCTTCTTGGAGGAGGCTTGCTATGAATGCATTCTCATCCAAACTCCACACAGCTACACCTGAATGGCCTTCGTGTAAATGCACCTGGGGGCATTCGCCTTCTGCAGCTTCCCTTGGAAGCAGGCCCTTTCTGCATTAAACCTGGGAGCGCATCCTTTCTGCAGCTGCTCCTAGAAGCATGCATGCCCTTTCCGAGACAGCCAGCATTTGTAACATCAACAAACGGAGCAGTTTGGTAAAAGGGGAAAAGCGGTAGACATCAGAGACCACCAAATGACAAAAGCTACGTAAACAGTTGTGGGTGGCTCGGAGGTCTGTGAATTATCCGAAACCCATCACTAAGGAAGGAAGCTGAGACCGTTCTGAAGTGAGCACATGCTTACTGTTATCTCAGAGGCTTCTCACAATGTGGCCTCCTCGATTACTGTGATTCATAAAAGAAGGGCTTTATAGGAAGTACCCTTTAATTGTAAGCCAACAACTACAGGTAACATCCAGCCAAATTTAAAGAAAAAAAAAATCTGTTTTAAATATGGAAGAAAAAAAAAAAAAAAAAAAAAAAACCTGACCTTGAGGGCCATACCAAAACGAGGCACCACACAGAGAAAAAAATCTATGTACTGTAATTTCTGGTTAACAACTGCAATTTCTGAGGGTGACTTTTGAGCTCATTGTGTCTACTTTAAAAACAAGTCCAACACAAGCGGCTTTGTTGTGCTTGGCTTTGTTGTGGGGGACATGGAGGAGACAGGCAGAAGCATGTTGCTCTCGGTTAAGAAAGCTTTGAACTGGCGCTGGAGGGGGTTGGGTACTTTCCTTCCATGTCAGACATGGGCTGGGCCAGCTGCTGCCCCTACAGGGAGATTACTGAATATCCTTCAAGGCTCTTTCCAACTAATCATGTTTTGAGTATATGAATATAAGTTCATTTGGAGGTCAGGGAGGGTAGAAACAAAAAAATGAGGAGTTTTAGCAGAGGCTTTTGGAATTGAGGAAGTTAGAAGGGTTGTTGCTTCAGAAGGAAGGGCTGCCAGGCTTTGGACTTGCAGGAAGTACAGAACATCATTCCAGATGGAAATATATATGCCACGAGTGTAGAAGAGGATGGGTAAGTGCAAGTAAATGAGGGGAACGGTGTTGACGGAAGAATGAGGAGTAGAATAGAAAAGGCCTCTGGGTGGTAGAAATTGAGCTACCTTGTTGGAGACAAAGGAGTTGAGCGCAAAACCTGGTGGAGACTCGTGCATTAGCTGATAAACCTGACAGTTGCCTAAGGACATGAACTTCGGAGCAACTGAGACGCACAGGGCAGTGGGAGAGCTGCGCCCTGGGTGCTAGTTTCTTCCTGCGGAGGCACCGGGCTTCCCTAACTCAACACAAGGGAGTGGCCGCAGATCTGCGGATCCAGGGCAGGGCAGCCTTCCTGTTTGAGGTGTGTCTCTTGTCTGTATGGAGATGAAAGGGCCGCACAGAAAAATCTGAGGACACACTCTCCAGGCCAGAACAAGGGAGTCTGGGGACTTCCAACTTGCCTCACAGCTTAGGGGTCACTGTAAAAACACAGGGGAAACCCTCTGTTGCTAAACTAGTTAACGTGGCTGCAAGACCTTTAGTGAGAAGTGAAAAGACTGGGAGCCAGCCAGGCGCAGAGCTGTTTCCAAAGGGGTGAAACTCGCCACCTATTTTGTGATCCCACCATTATAATTACAGAGTAGCATAAATTCTG